TTTTGCTCCGCGAAATGAGCCCGCGTAGCCCCGGGCGGAATTTGATTCAACGGTGGACAGACACCATCCGCCGCTCTCAAGGCCCTCATCGGAATCGATTTCCACCGAGGGAAGGGAAAGAGGGCGGAGGTGGGGGCTTCCGACAACAAAAATGAACTCGACGCATCGACCCATTTTCAATGTACACTGAATGTGCTCCGTCAGCATTATGATCGAGACCGCCGGCCAGCGGATTCAGTTTCTGACAATCGCCCGCTCGGGATGCCATGAGAATTTCCCGAAAAAATCCAGATTCATGTCCTGACCCGATAGGATCAGTAGTTGTCAATCAATCATGGGGAGCGAGCATCAATTCCAGTAGACGAGCGTTTCCGGAATTTTTAACGCGGCAATTTTTAACGCACTCGATTCTCTTCCTCGTTCAAAATCGATGAGGAGGTGAGAGGAAAGCACTGCTCGGCTCCGAATCCCTCTCAGAATTCGAATCCGCCGGCGCTCCTTTCTAGAGATTCCCGGATGTCGGAGAACAGTCGCCGTAAACGCGACGTGAATATCTCTGCGAATTGTCCCCGATGGTAAGTTCCTCGCGACCCGCGCTCGACTCCATTAGAGAAACGGTTTGGGAGGGGATTCTCGAACGCCATGCCGATCATTGCAGCGGATCGGCCGATACCTCTAATGATCGTCTCGAATGGCCTCGCAATGTTTGTTCTCGAAATTATGAGTAACGATGAATCGAACCTGCATCTATCACTCATCATGAATCTTTGAATCATCATACGGCCCGCCGTCGTCGCAGAGGCAACGGTCCCGACGATCGATATAAACGCTGAGCTGAACGCGCTCGAAGATTCCATTCGGATCTATTTTATTTCACGACGTGAACCTCGACGTGAGCTCGAGAGTCAGTCAGATGGGGCAACACAAAGAGAAACGCTAGCATCGATCCTGGAGCGATTGCAGGAAGAGAAACTTCCGCAACCGTCATCCAGATCCGGAAAGCCTCCCCTGCGGAAGACACGAGAACCGAGTTTCACTTCCTCGAGGAACGGCTCCCACCGACTTTCCGGAAAAACAGAATTCCGCCGAGGGAGAGCTCGCCGAGAAGTGGAATCGAGCCCACTCGGCAGCTGACTGGGAAGCAAGATCGATCGCGTGGCTTGCGATCAAATCCCGCTTCGTACAGCAGTAGGTACCTACTCGTCCATCCACGCGTCTCTTCTACCGCTCACCCCCCGAAGCTCTCCTCTATCTGTCCATCGCCTTTAGCACCCCCGAATAGTCCAGATGTTCAGCTAGCGCTGGCTAGCCTTGTTGTTCTTACTGTTGTAAAAAGAAGACGCCCACAGCTCGTCGCCGTCGTCTTCTCGAACGGAGACGTAGCTAAGAGGTCATGATTTACCGTGCGATTAATAATAAAACCGTCGAGGACAGATCTATCCCGTAGCGAGACGAGAGAATAAAAAACGAGTGAATGAGACATCGTCCATCCGAGTTTTTCGCCCTGTCCGAAGTCTTCTCGAGTTTCATTCGGACAAACGAAGCATCGAAGCGTTTCACGGTCGCGAGCAATGATAATAATTAGCGAGGGAAGGAGCGTCAGGGAAGACAGAGGAAAACGCAGGTGGTCTTCCAGAACCATTCGGCGACACCGGGAAACGCTCAATCCTCGATTACCTTCATCATCGGTTCTCGAAATTCACTCTTTGGATCGAGGCGAGTTCCTTTATCGCGTTGGAGATGAGACCGGTTCCTTTGCTGCGACTGCCGCAGCCGACGGAACCGCTAACCACGTATTCACGAGAAGATTTCTGCTGTTCTTACGCGATCGCGGACTCGGATGCGTCCCCCACTCGGGAGGAAGTCCCTCCTGACTCGGTCAGGAGGCTTTCTGACCCTTCAGGCTCCTTAAACATAGGTGCTCGCACATCACCCTATTCTCCCGCATAGTGTACATCCATGCATATACGCTGTTGGTGGAGCCGCTCAACTTACCATGAAGTGTATTTCCTAGAGTTTAGTCCGCGGCGCTCACTTTCTCTGCACCCACTATCACACTCGATGTGTTTCGACAACGAGCGACGTTCACTCGATGAACAAAGATCGTTCTGTCGTCGGCACTGATGACAGACATACACACTCACACACACAGTGCTCTCGTCGGGCGCTCACCGAGCTCCGATCCAATAATCTAAAATGGCTGCTGCTTCTCGCCCCGCGGAGACTCTCTTATTCGACGGAACATGAGCGCAGCGGCACGACAGCGTGAGCGACATCTGGGGTGGGATCGTTGTCCGACCAGCGCTCCTCGTGGTCAAAAAAGGACTAATCTTCTGACAGCGATTCCGTGCGGTTTTCTTGCGCGATTAAGTTGCGTCAGTAGGAGAACGTATCGGGAGGTGCTATCTTCCGCTTGAAGTTGAAACACGGGTTCTTCAGGAGCCCGAGCTACTTGACTTCTTTGGGAGGGAAGTGCTCCCTCATTGGTGAGGACCGGTGTAGTGGGCAAGTGGGCGCGCTTGACAGCCCTTTGAATTTCCGCGGGTCAGCTCTTCCCGAGCCCGGGCACCTGTCCTGCCATGGAAGACCTCGGATAGAGTGTCGTTTCATGCACCGGAACTTCCCGAAGGACGGAATGAGAATCGCGACGGAGTGAAACTGACCAACTCTGGAGAAGTACCGAGAGCCCAGAGCATCGAGGTTCAGTCCCGGTTCATTGGAACGGTTTCTGCCTACGGAGATTCCTAAAAGTCCGACGATTTTAGCTTCCAGCCGGGCCATTTCTCAGCAGTCGGTCGCATCTCGCGCAGAATGACATTCCTTTATGTCCGGACTCCGCGGGGTGAGCCCCTTGTAATCGTCTAGAAACCTCACTTCGAAGACTTCCCCTCCTCCCTCTTGTTTCATTCTCAAGGCCCTTCTTTTCCTCGTTGCAACCTACGGGGATCAAGTGCGGTCGATGATAATAATCGTTCAAGGGCTTAGGGGTTATCTGGGAAGCTCTCGATCGGATTGTTTTTGCGGTTCATATTTTCCCGACTCCCCACATCCAAAATACCCAGAAATCCCGCATCAGAGGGACTTATCACAAGTTTGAACAGCTTTGAGAAAGAATCCCCCTTCGAACATGGGTCTTCCAGGGAATGAGGGGCCCCTCATATGCGGGACTCCGAGGCATATGTGTACTTGACAAGCTTGCTCCCGAGTCAGACAAACGATGGGAGCTCCGTTCCGGGAAACCAAATTGGGATTCCGATCTTCCCCGATCTCCCGTAGATGTGATCACACGAGGGAACCTGCGATTCAGCAAATTCAACGTGTGAGCTTGTTGTGAATGAGACTAAATAAGTCTTCGCTTCCTTTTTTGCGTAGGGCCACAAGGAGTTCTCCAACTACCGATTGCGCGGTGATGAATGGACTCAAAGAATGGAAGCTAGGGGACTCTATTCGTGTCAGCAATCTCGGGGATTCAGCGCGAAAACACTTCGCGTGAATCCTGCCAGCGTTCAGAGAGGGATCCTGCAGGATGTGCGTGGAGTCAAATTGTTGACTCAGTAACTCAGCGTCGCTACTCCAGAGTCTTGACGAGCACGTGGGAGCTCCGAGCTTCATCGAATCAGTATGATCGGAGCAGAGAATAGACTCGCGCTGACGCGAACATTTTCCCGATTGTGTTGGACGCGTGGCATCTTGAGCGGGCACCCAATCAATAACCCCTAGAACTCAGCGCGTTCCCTCAAATGACCCGGCTTCTTGACGGGATAGCATAACCATATTTTCGTCGTCTAGTCGAGCTCCCTGGAAGAACGGCTCCCACGTAGCTCCCGTGAGCCATCATTCGTGCTCCTGCGAACTCCCGTAATCAGACCACGTCTATCTGCCTCCACGCCTCCTTTCTCCTGCGACTGCAGTAGAACATTTTTCGCTAATCGATGAACGAATCAGGGGGAGCAGAGGACAGTACCCCGTGCACGGCACCCGCTGGAACCTGGAAAAGGGATCTTCCTTGAACTTTTCCCTCACGGCAGAGAAGGTCGCGAACCCCGCTATGAGGATTAAAACGCGGGAAACAGGACCAGCGAGTAAAAATTCATCGTGAAGAGCTCGTCCGGGTACTTCAGAAGGAAATCTGAAGGTGATGATTATTTCCAGAACGATCGTTGAAGTCAGTCAAAATCGACACAGTCTCCGAAACTAGTGTGAGTCCGAAGCTCATCGGCTCTCGCGACACACCTTCTCATCGGAAGATGAGAGTCAATCCTCCTCGCCTGCTCTCTCATGGTGGGAATCGCTTGCTGGATTACACCGTTTTTTTTGCTGGGCTGTAGCATCGAATCGGGGATCAGATGGAGGCACAGCCTGATTCCAGTGCAATGCCATCAGAAAAGATCATCGACGTTCGATTCGTCGACAGCCGTCATATTCAGTTCTGAGGAATCGTACTTAACGCTCCTCCTGAGCCCGTGGATTCTATCTGCATGAGATCTTGCACCTCTCAATCAGTCGTACAAGCGTGAGATTAAAACTTCGAGAAATTGAGTTTTATCCCTGGTCCCCGCCCGCTTCCCGGTTCCACACTTCACCGGAGCGTGTTTTTGTTGATACCGCCGCTGCCGCGCTGCACTCCGTCGAGGAGAAACATTGAGCGGAGCTAAGCCTAACTCCGGGCGACTGGCCGCACCACTGGCCGAGCCCGCAATTCGGAATTTGAAGCGACTCAATAAACTATCAGACGCTCTCTCAGTGTGTCCGAATGTCCCAGAATCGAGCTGATCGTTCCCGACTCGTCACGAATCGCGCAATCGATGAAAATAGAGAACTCCGCTCTTCTGTGGAAGGCGGTTCCGTCGGATAAGATCTTGGAACTCACGGATAAGTGTTCTGTTTGTTTGAGTTAATGTTGCGAGCCGCAATGGCATCGAGCGATTGGTAGATTGTTTGCAGTGTAGGGTGGTGGAGCGGGTGTTGGCTGAGAACACTGCCAAGGAGGAGAAGACTTTATGGAACTCAAACTGCACTCCCCTTCGGGGGCTGAGCCCGCCGTGTTTCGCTGGCCCCTAAAGGTAAATTCCAAAACTCCTAAGCCTAACCGCGATCAGACGACCCCTCTACGGCTACCAGCAGCGATCAATGGCAATGTTTCGATTACCCTATCGTGACTCTGGATTCCCCCTGCGGTCTGGGCTACCGGTCCTGGTCCTGGTTCGCCAGAGTGCCCCCGAATAAGACATGATGAGGCTTTTCGCAGATTGAATTCAGCGGGAAGTTGCGGATTCTCTTGAATCTAGGTTACTACGCTGTTAGCCGCCATTGACAGACCACCGTATGAGGAGTCTTCGATGATGCGGGGAGCAACTGTCAGACGGTCTCGTCCGTTCCACCTTCTTTCATCAGAACTCATCAGAAATCGCGAGCTCTCTTCGGTGGAGATTTCCATAGAGGGATCGGAAGGTTTTCTCGGCGATTAACGAGCCCGACTATCTCATCGGAGCTCTCTCAATCCTTTACTCTGAGGCCCGCGGACGTGAGGTCGAACGTGGAAACTATCGAAATTTCGGGGCTGGGCTTATTATTCCCTTTGCTTCCTTTGAGCTAATATTCGAGCTGCTGGAGTCGTTGAGACCCCTGTTGCGTTGTCCGTTGGGCTGGAACCCGACAGGCGCCAACTCGTTACCTATCGTATGACGTCGAGGCGTTTAGAACGGCGCCATGTTGGCAGCATCGTAAACAAACCGGAAAGGCACGACTTTCGGCTTCTCGATCAGCTGACAGGGTGTCGGATTGCGGCTGGAGAGATACCTTTCCGCGAATCAAAGTCATTCGTGTGATTTCGAATCTTTAAATTAGCATATCGAGCGGAATATTGCAGCGTTAAAGAAAAAACTTCGCAGAAAAATTTGAATTGTCCAACCGACGGGAAATCGTGGAGCCAGATCCATTTTCGAGAGCCCCAATCCACGAGCATTTTCCTCGCTAGAGATTTACGGATTTGCCTGAAACTCCGGGAAGACTCGTGTGCGGGAGATGAAAACTTTGGAAGACGGAATTCAGACACACTGTCCTGATCCAGATCCTCGAACTTCGGAGGATCATTTCAATGTCCAACATTACTGATTCCTCTCTCTTTACTCTTCCAGGACAAACAGGACGGTGCCGTGGAGATCGTGGAGACCATTCGTTGTGTGTGCAACGACTTTCCAGAGATCAGGACCGCTCTGGAAAATCACGTTCTGAACGATTACAATACGCGCGATTTCGATAGCATGCGGAGCCTATGCGAACGCTACAACAAAGCAATCGACTCGGTCTCGAAACTATGGAAAGGCACATCGGTCAGAAAAGAAACGAGACCGACCCTGCCTCTGCTTCGGCATATCCTGCATAAAGTCTACAACCAGTCGGTGGACGACCCAGACCGACTAAATTCGTACGAACCGTTCTCGCCACAGGTCTACGGCGAAACGTCGTTTGACTTCATAGCACAAATGATCGAGGAAACGGATTTCGATGAAGATACGATATTCGTCGATCTGGGCAGCGGCGTCGGGCAGGTGATCTTGCAGGTGGCTGCCATGACCACCGTGAAGCAATGCATAGGAATAGAGAAAGCCGAGACGCCGTGTCTGTATGCGGAGCGAATGGACGAAAACTTCAGGTTCTGGATGCGCTGGTACGGCAAGTCGTACTCGGACTACAAACTCATCCGGGGCGATTTCCTGAGCGACAAAAATCGGCACTATATCGAAAACGCGAGCATCGTATTTGCCAACAACTACACGTTTGGACCCACGGTCGACCACCAGTTGAAGGGAGTTTTCCAGGAGATGAGCGACGGATCGCGTATCATTTCGTCGAGAGCGTTCTGTCATCTCCAGTTCCGGATCACCGACCGCACTTTGTCTGACATAGGAGCTATGATGCATGTGCGAGAAGTTCAGCCTAAAAAGGGATCAGTTTCATGGACGGACAAACCCGTTTCCTACTACCTGCACTGCATTGACCGAACCAAACTTCAGAGGTATTTCGAAAGCAAAAAAAGCTCTGCCCTGACCGAAGGAGACGGAAAACGGAAACGTAATCTGGTGAATTACAACATGGAGTCATCGAACGGTAGCCTGTTCGACGAGGACTCTGAGGTGAGCAGACCGCGGATCCGGGAGGGAGATGGATGACGAGCACAATATGGATTTTTTTCCATGAAAACGAACCCAGTCCCCGGGGATCGAGATATGGCGGTCGCTGACATAAGCTCTTTTTCCCCTCGTAGGTGTTCGGACCCACAACCAGGCGAGCGTGGACCGAGTGGGTGAGTAGGAATCACGCCCGGCGGTATCCTCCCCTGGAAAGATCCACGGCGTAGTAATCGAAATCTCATCTATTCCAAGGCTATCGCAATCGACTTTGGATCGAAGACGATACGCATATTAAGAGTCTTTCACCGATCTAGATAAAAAACACTCGAAATATTAAGAAGAATGGGAATGGCAACCAATCCTCGGGTCATGATGAAGAGGACGAACAAGAGCCGAAAAAACCCCAGCCTGGAAGACGAGGCAGGAAACCCGCTGCCGCGAGTGTCAACGCAGCTTCAGCCAATGCAAAGCCCAAACCCCGAGGGAGACCCAAAGCGGGGCAGAAGAAAGGTTCTTCGAAATGTAATTATCTCTATAACGGATTCTGAGATCAATCAAGCTTCGACTGCTTCCTGTTGGAATTCTCCAAACCAAATTCATTTATTTTTCCAGCATCGAAATACGCTACCAATCTCGAGATTCTGCACAATCAGACTCTGCTGATGGCCGCACGAGACGTCGTGAACGCGAGTCCGCCCCCTGGCTGCGTCGAAGAGAAACTTCTGAGCTCCGACGACGAGGGGAACGAGTCGACAACGACTCCTTGCCGATCGCCCGTGCAAACGTCCGCGCGGGTGACGTCGGAGAGCAACTCACCAGAAACGGAGATCGAAGCTCTGCAAGAGGATAAATTCGACGACGTCGAGCAGCGCTTCAATGACGATCTCGAGCTGATGTTGTCGAATCTGCGCCAAGAGTACCGTACCCTGCTCTACCAGTTCCGCGATTCTGCGATGAGACGTGAAATCGAGCGGCAGATTGTCTTAGAACGGAAAAGACAGCTCGAACTGCAAACCAAGCACGACCAGCTCGACAAACAAGTCAGAAATCTTCTGGAGGACAGCGTGACCTTGATGAAAGCTCGGATGTGTGAGCTGGACATCCACGTGTCGGAACCTTCGCAGCTTCTGGCAAAAGCTAAGGAGATCGTTGCTACACACAAGCAACTCCAAATCCGGAGCAGCCGTCTGGAGCATGAGGTCGCCCTAGCCGAGGAGCAGCAACGAGGTCTAATTCTAGCCCGTCAGCAACAGCTCCTGACGACGACGGGGAGAACTCTCAGCAAGGAGCAACTACTCAAGGAGATTTCGGCGTCGCTTTGTCTACGACGGAATCCGACCGTACCCACAAGTCGAAGCCAAAATGGAAATACCCACATGGACACTGAGCCCGAGAGCGAAATAAGTCGTCCCGGCGAGGTGAGTCACCGGGGAACCTTCTCCCTTCGGAATTCGAAGAGGGATAGGAAATATCGTGGGGAAATCGGAGAATTTCTCCACGATAGATATTTCTCAGAAAATCCGATAGATATTTCTCCACGGCTTCCTCGAAGCTCCTCCGGGGGTCCTGAGCGTAGGACGTCATTTTTGACCCTCTACGGAGGAAAAGACGACAGGCAGTGAATTTTTCCCCTCGTTCCAGGGAGAAACAAACGCTCACACCGAATCGAATGGTCCAACGACCGAGAGCAATTCTGCTGGTCCCTCGCCGAATTATGCAGCCCCTCCCCACATGGCGGTCCAGAAAGGCGGACAATCAACAAACGGATCATCGAATCACATAGTGCCGCAGAGCACTAATCCGCAGACGGCTCAACAAGGTCAGACCGGGGATCGATGAAGGAGAGGTCTAGAGAAAAAAAAAACAGAAAAAAAACTTCCCGCCGTGCATCTCTGATCTGACGTTCTCTAACCGTGCCGAGTCGTTACAGGCAATATCGTGCTGAATCTAGGCGATCTCATGCGGAACTCTCCTCAACACTCCACTCATCAGACGTCGTCTTCAACCGGCCATCACCACCATCACCATCATCACCACCACCATCACAGTCATGAAGGACACAATGCCAGTTCGAGTTCTGAGAAAGGAAGAGGAAAACAAAAGAGAAAACATTCTCAGGACTCTCGTTCCAAGTGTTCCATGACCCCGACGTCGGGTGGCGAGACGGGCGGTCCGAATTCGCAGCCGAACCAGAGCTCAACGACGTCACCTGCTGAGGAGCCGCGAGCCGGCTCGAGCTCGAAGACCCAACAGCCTCAAGAGGAGAAGAAAAAATGGGTTGTGGACACTCAAGGTGAGATTCTACGTCCGAAGCGACTGTGCTCTGGGTATTGAAGAGCATTGAAGACAGCGTGGATACGCAGACAAGAGAAAATCAGGGCTGCGTACCTGTTCCATGGGACGGTGCAGGAGTTTTTCCCCGGAGATTCGCTTTGTTCTCAAGTACCGAGGAGAGAGCGATGTTTTTTTTGTAGAGAAATTCCGAAGCTACGATCCCAATTGAATCGAGAGAAATGACGGGATAGTGCCCCGAGACCGAGAGAAATATCGGAGAGACGATGGATAAATGAAAAGTCGCCGGGAGAATCAGTTTTCCTCCCGATCGACTGCTCGAATTATCGATCATCGGATACTCTCCTTGTCTCGAGTGCAAGACTCGACGATATTTTATGAGAGAAGACTTGATTTGGGGAGCCTCGAAGCCTGAAGCTCGGCACAGGGATCTTTGTGCCAGAAATTAATGACCGAGTGGTCAGAATTATAAGCATACGGATAAAGAAATCAAGCAAAGAAAGAACACGAGGTTTGTGAATGTGTCAACGGCCTTGAGTTCCCTGTCTCGACATCTCCCGTCCTCGGTCTTCTCGTCTGTGACCGTGCCAGTGAAAATCGCAACCCGAGCGTTACATCTAAGTGAGAGTGTTCTCAACCACAGAGCTCTCGGCAGCATTCTAATATTTTATTTTCTCATTTTCCAGCGAGTGGAGGCGTCTCGATAAAAATCAAAGCCTTGCCTCCGAAGAGCCCTCCGAAAGCTTCGAGCCCCGAAGCGGCGGCCCGCTCGCCTTCCCGAAGTTCAAGTTCTTCAGATGGTTCGTCTTATGCGCATCGTCACAAAAAGTTCCGGGAGAAACGCCATCACCACAAAAAGTTCTCTCGGCCAAACTCACCGGTATCAACGCCGACACCCCCGGCGGTTCAGCCGCCGGCCGTTCAGGCTACGCCTACGCATTTACCCCCATCTCAACCTGTACTTCAGCAACAACAGCTAGTTCTACCGCAAGCCCAAGTATCTCAAGCTTCTATGGCTCCCCACAGCGCTCCGGCGCATCCTGGGGCGAGTCGTGTTGCGCCCAGGACGGCCACTGCGAGTCAGCACATGTCTCGGACTCCCGTGCATCCTTCGGTGCAGCAAGGACTCGCCGCCCACGCGGCGGCCGCAGCCGCTGCCGCCGTCGCGGGTCACAGGGCCGGCGGAGTGATGCCTCCACATGCCCAGCATTCTTCGATGCCCAACTACGCGGCAGCGCACGGAACGCCAAGTTTGTTCGGATCGCATCCCCCCGGCAGCATGCCGCCGAACGCGGCAAACTTCGCCCCTCCCCACACGCAATTCACCCCCTCAATACCCCCTATTTATCCGCCCCACACCTCCCCGGCACCTCATCCCTATTACCGTTCGATGTATTCCCATAGACAATAAGAAGAGGAACGAAGTAGTATTTTGCCGTTATTAGTTGAAGTACAAGAGGTTAGGGATAATTTATGCGTTGTATCATACTATATAATACTTACCCGATGCCCAATTAATGGTAATCGTAACGCCGACGGATGGATGCTGCAGTGATCTCTTCATGTTACGTAATGTAAATAAGTTCGGTTACATTATGCAGAAACGAGTGTATCGACGCGTAGCTTGCGACAAAGGACGAAGAAACACGTGCCCAACAGTCTCCAGTAGTATTCAGGTATTCTATCATTCATCGATTCATTCAAACCGAGCACATTCGGCGGGGCAGCATTCTTCCATGGAATGGCGCAACGGTTAAATTTCTCATTAACTCTCCCTCTACATCTTTCTATGTAAGTATGAAACTTTTCGGTTCGCTCCATAACATTCATATGGTGAATAGAGACCTCGTATGGATACCCATGTCGGATCACGAACACGGTCAGATGCAAGCCAGGTCAACGGACTTTCTTAAATTCTTCGTCCGCTTACTCTTCTCGATTTTCCCTCAGATACTCGATGGAATTCCAGAGAATCCACAGTTCGTTGCTCGTTTCCCTCTCTCACTCTATCTTTCGTTCTCCCCCTCTCTCTCT